CATTTTGTGAAGCATATATTTCCCTACGTCACATACATTCCCGTTTGTTATTGTTTCTTTTTATAACAATCAAATGATGAGAACAGCGAAGTGGCAACTGGACGGCGTAATTAAAGAGTAACGTGCGATTCATTAAAAGGGGAAAGATCCACTAACATATTTTTATTTATGTAGTGGCCAAAAAGAGTATACATTTTTTTGAACATTCCATGTTTGTATGTTTTCTCATTTTCCGCTGTGGAAAAGAAAAGGCAGCAATTTTTTTTTTTTTATTTACTAGCCAAATGGTTGTACTTTAAAAAAAAAAAAAAAAAAAAACATCCATTTTAGCTATTTTTCAGTTGCACAAAATTGGGAATATGTAAAATACGGCTTGCCGTCGTGAGCCACAGACTTTTTCCCATTTAAACCACACGATGTGAATTTGCAAAAAAAATGTAGAAAAAGGCAGTAGGAAAAAGTAAACAAAAATCACGATACTATATAAATATGTATATATATGTACATAACTTTTAACACTAGGTTAAAATTTTCGCCCCATCCTTTCAAGTGAACTTTGCATGCGATATTTTTTTTCCTTTTTGTTTCAACGCATTAATAAATAATATGCATAACGACATATGGGTACGCGTTCGCGTGGCCACATAGAAGAACATCAGTGCAGTGTATTTTATAAGGCACAGTATACTGCAGCATTTATATAGGAAACATTCCCCCCGTACGCTTTGTGAGCACATCGGCGCAACATCTGTGGGTCACATGTCCGCGTAAAAATGAACAGCTGAACCCCTAATATATAGTATAATGTGGACCCGTCCCTTCATGCAAATATACGTACAATGGTGCAAACATTTGTCACGAAAAAAAAAAAAAATTGAGCTGGGCAAAATAGCCGCTCTACATGAGTTTACAAAAAAAGATTTAAACAAACGGTATGCAGCATACAAAATAAATAATATATACATATGAATGTATAATCTTCTTTTAATCTTTCTCTTGCTTTTATAAAAACGTATCCTTTTTCTTTATGGTACGCAAAAAATTCAACTGCGCATATTCCTGCCCCTACATTTGTAGATTTATTTTTTTTATGTCGAATTTATTTCCCGTCGCATTTTTGTATAACATTTCTCTTGCAAGAAACGAACGTTTTCTTTTTCTCAAAATAATTTGCTTGAACAAATTATAACAAAAAAAAAAAATAAATATCCCCATCCATGTAGGATTGTAAAATAATAAAAAGAACAAAAAAAATTAATTCATGCCTCCTCTGTTGTTAAACAGAAAGTAACATCCCCCCCCAAGCGTATATTTTTGACCGGTGTTTTTTCAAAGTTGCATCTGTTCAAAGAAGGAAGTACCTTTTCTTTGGAAGGAAAAAAATCCCAAACAGTGCCAAATCGCGCCAAAAAAAAAAGCAACAACTCCACAACGTAAAAAATTATAACCCCCTAAGCAGCACAAAATGTTTTACGGTAAGTGATCTGCGGCCTAACGACATCTAAACACCTACATCATGTCGCGCTGGCATGTGCCCAGTGAGACTGCATTTTTGCAAAGTTGAAAATGTACCATTAAGTTTATTTTCCTTGTGTTCATTTTTTGCGCTTGTATGTTGTTCATGCTGATGTTGTGTTAGTCATTATCCTCATTCATGCTCATGTGGGTGACGCTTTTTGCATTATCTGAGATCCCCCGATTTATGGACCTTGTCCTTGATTATTTTTGCTCATGCGTACTTTTCAGCCCCCGCACCGCCCTAAAGAAGGGGGGTAGTCATTTTCCCCTTGCATTATAGAGGCTGTTTATGTGTCATGTTACATATAGGAAGAGTGGAATAAATAGATATTATGTACATATATAAAAGTGCCGTTACGCGTCTAGCATTTTTTATTATAGAAAAACGAAATCGCCTTTCTAAATATGAACCCCAATTCTTCATCCATCTGAATTTCGCCCCCATGTGCATTGTTTTTGTTTTTTTATTAACTCCCGCTCTTGTTTACTTTGTACGCAGGAAAAGTAATTAAAGCAGACGAAACCGTCATACCGGAGATTAAGGACGGATACTCCGTTATCCATCTGTCCAGAGCATGCTTAAACAACCCACAAGATGAAGGAAAGATGTATGTACAAGTGGAAGATGCCAATGGATGCTATAACATTTGTTGTTTGCAAAAAAATGTGTGCGAAGATACAGCATTGGATATATTTTTAATGCTAGATAATGAAGTGAAGCTAAAAACCAGTGGTAGTAAAAACGAAGTCCATATTGTTGGATATTACGAAGTGTCATTTGGTCAGGATCATCTGGATGACGATGATGAGGAAGATGAAGAGTTGGAAGATGAAGATGATGAATATGAAAATGAAGAGGTTAGACTGCTTACCAGGAAAAATACGCTGAAAAATTCGCTAGCTAACGGATTTGGAAAAAAGAAAAAAAAAAATGCTTTAGATGAAGATGACGAAACGAATGTAGGAAATAACGATGATGATGATGAGGATGATGACGACGATGATGATGACGATGAAGATGATGAAGAGGGAGAAGATGACGACGATGACGATGAGGATGATGACGATGAGGATGATGAAGATGATGATGAGGATGACGATGATGAAGATGACGATGATGAGGATGATGAAGATGGGACCAAAAACAAAGGAGAGAAAAAAAAGAACGGACAAAAGAAAAACAAAAATAAGAGATCTCTGGATAACAAAAATGATGGCCCATCCAAAAAATCCAAATTGTTTGACGAAAGTCAGTATGAAAAAGACCTCGTTGCATTTTTAAAAAAAAATGGAAAGTGCAAATTGCCAGAGTTAGGAAAAGTCAAGAAACCCGAAGGACTGAAAATGAAATTGGGCTTCTTTATTAAGAAGCATTCAAACGTCTTTAAGCTTGACACAGATACCCAAGTGGTTTCCTTGAAAAATAACTGAGCAGAGTGTTTGTGATGTGGCCTTGCGGGGGAAAAATAGGAACGCGAAAAAGGGGAGGAGGGGATCGAGATACGAACAGGGGAAAAAGATATTGTGTTATCCACCCCCCTTTCATGTATGGAGCTTGCACAATTCTGCCCTCCATAATATGTAGAACTCCATTTTGCGTCATTATTGCCAAGAAAGAAATTTCATTTATGTGCAGAAAATTTACCGCCCCTTTGGCAACATGTCTACAATAACATGCATTTAGCTATAACCCCGCGCTTGCCCTCCTTCACATACATCTCCCTATATATCCGTTAGTATTTCCCGGTAGAACTTATCATTTTTCCATTTTTAATCTTTGTAATAATTGTTTTCCTATCACAAGTCCCATTCGCCAATTTTTTTTTTTTTTCCCCCTCTATTAATTTTTATCACCCCTTTTATTTGAACATGCATACGTGTGTCGTATCCGGGTGTGTAAAATATATAACCACACAAAATATGCATCGTACGAGAGCGTATGTATGTAAGTTGTGTGTGTATATATATATATCATATGAGTTTATAAAAGTGGATGATATGGGGATATGTTTTTTTTCGCTTTAATTTTACATGAACGCATTAATGGATGCGCAGTACGCATAAGTGTTCTTATGCGTATAGGTGGCGTATCTGCCGCCAATCAGCTGCGCACAAAATACGTACGCTCTGGTGCACATCCGCCACTGGTGGAACGTGCTAGCACCGCCCCCATTTTGTAACCATAAAATCGTGTATTAGTCCAACAGCATCCACATTTTTGAAGAACTAAATTATTCATAACACATTTTTATTAAACCTTTAAAAAAAAGCACAACAATTGGTGGAAACCTTCTACAGGTCCCCATCGATCAGTTAATTAAGATAAGCGATCGTTCCATTTTGCCAACCCACCCCCAACCTTACCATTCTTATACAAAATAGCACAAACGGTTTTCCTTCTTCCCATGCATCGTTAAAAGAATTAATGAGGGGTAATATTTGTTATTTACTCTTTTATTTTCATAAGACACCGTGGAATGATGTGTTTCATCCTTCTGGGGAGATAGTTCAAATTGTTTCTCAAATTGGTGTGCATGAACATATTATGTACCGTACAGCATTAGCGTTTGCCACATGAAAATATATGCAGGAAGAGGAAAGAAATTTAATAGAGTCGTATTGCACGCTGCAATTGCTTTCATTTTGTTTTACCATTTTTATGTACCTTCTGCGCTAGACAGATATATATGTTTGACTAGCTATTTTTTTTTTTTTTTTTTTTTTTTAATTTGTTGGAATGCTTAATTTTTCTCGCATGTAAATAGTTTGTTAAGGTTATACGTTGCTATATTTAATGTTTATTTTATTATATTTTTTTGCATGAAGGGGAGAAAATAAGAGCCACGGCATCGCTTGCTGGGCAGACCCATCCACACATCCACACATGGGGTGTAAAGTGTACATTTATGCAGGCAACATTTTTTGCGCTCGAAAAAATGTTTCACAAAAATCCGCACATGAGAAATGGCACTAATTCGAAAAAAAAAAAAAAAAAAAAAAAAAAAAAAATTGGCAACAGCGACAGTAATTGTCACAAGGGCTTCCACAACAACGATAAACAAAATACGTAAAACCGCGGTTATCTCTCTTAACAATACAAATATGTGCAAGTTGGACAACGTGATGAATGAGTGAGCAACTAAAAAGTCACGCCTTGAGTACGGTAAAGCGCAATGGGTGGACAACTAACGCGCAGCTCTATCCGTTGTACTTGTCATTTCGATTGTAGATGGCTAGTTTTCTAGTATGTACCGTAATGGTTCGGTTCTCTTGATCTTTGTTTCATGCTGGTGAAGAAATGGGAAGAAAAAAAGGGTGTGCATTTTTAAAAATAATTTATGACAGGGTCTCTTTTTTTTTTTTTTTTGTTATCATTTCGTTCAGCTTTACACACATTTACAATGCCACACGCTGATCAATGCATGATGCACGCATTGCGGCGGATTTATTTATTTTTTTTTTTTTTGCTCAATTTTCTTTTATTACAAGTAATAATCAGCATCTTCTGCATTTTTGTTCTGCATGTTCTTTAAGTTGCCCGCGTTGTAATCGCACTGATCTAGATCGTAGTCATCGTTACACGCATTGACGTTCATATCTGAGAAGCAAAACAGTTTCGCACATATGTACATACGGCGCATACGAATTGCACACATGGGACATGTGCATATATGGGTGTTCAAGCTCAAGTAATTATCTTAAGCATGCGGTTGGCATTTCTTTCAAGACTTTTTTAAATAATGGTCATATTATTTTATAGTGGGTTTTAATTCTTTTTTTTTTTTTTTTTCCTTTTTGCTATGTTACTAAATGCGGTTCGCACATTTCAAAAAAAAAAAAAAAAAAAAAAAAAAAAAAAAAATTTTTTTTTTTTTTTTTTTTTTTTTTTTTTTTTTTTTTTTTTTTTTTAAAAAGGTTGGTGCCAAACAAAAAAAAAAAAAAAAAAAAAAAAAAAAAAAAAAAGTCTCTTTTGTTATCCCTATTTGTCTTAATTTCGTGAGTTTTCAATTGTTCAGTTCACTTAATTTATTTCCTCACACACGACAGGGTTCACATGTATAGGTAACGCAAGGACATGTTGGCACACTCAGATGCACATGCAGTTTATATATGTGCACAAAAATTAAGTCCCGTCGCGTAGGAACAAATATATCGCGTATATTAAAAAGGCGCAGCGTAATTATTACTGTTGTCATCGTCTGATTTGTAGTTTTCCTGCGGGAACGGGGATGAAGTAAAGATACCAGCAGGAGTGAAGCAAACGCATAGAGCAGGCTGGAGGGATGATAAACAATTTACAACCCCGGGGGCACTAAAACACCAAGCGTAAGAAAGGTAAGCCGCGCAAACACCATGTATAGTGGAGGAAAAAATATATATACACACAAAATTCGCCATCTAAATGGAACAAAATTGACGCATCAAAAAAAAACAAAAAAAAAAAAAAACTGTGCACAAATGGACCACACAGGGAGCACAAATAAAAAGGGGAAGTAAAAATAGACCCACGTGCAAACCCATTCCATCATCTATGTTACCTTCATGATGTAGTTGTCGTAGGTCTTCTCCATATTGTCGCAGTTGTACATGTCGTTTTTTCTCTTTATGTTCATGTTGTGGCCTTGGTACATTCTATAACAACAAAAATGAGGGGAAAAAAAAATGCAAGTAATGCGTGGCAAATTTGCAAGTGAAGGACGCGGAATGGAAAGCGTTTCTTCCCTCTAGTCCTCCTCCGTTTGCATATTTATTGTGTCAATGAGACTATGTATACGCCACGGCACGTCTTGCCTGGTATCCACGTGCTAGCACTTAACACCTAGACAAACAAAAAGCACTGTATATGTCTCCCTCGACATTTTCCACAAGATTACACAGCATCCCTCCCTCTCTGCGCTCCACCGCGCACCTTACTTTTTGTTAAAGTTTCCCATGGGGGGAGGCATGGGGATGTTTTGTTGGTACATGTTGTTCCTGAAGTTGTTGTTGAAGGCTCCATTAAGGTAGGGGTTCATCATGTTGTTGGAGAGGTTCGGATTGACATTCATCGGAATGTTCGTCATAGTACTTTGTACATTTTGAGATAAATTATTCGGCATGCCTTTAAAATTATTAACAAATGGAAAGTTATTTTGTTTATAATTCATATTCTGATTTGGCATATTCACATTATTTGGTTGCATATTCAAATTATTTGGGGGAGGCGGAGGGAGATTCATATTTCCTTTTTTATTTAATGAATAGTTCATATTATTTTGCATTAAGTTATTTTTAAACTGCTGTTGGAAATCATTTTTCGGTTGTTTATTTTTGTACTTTCCTCCTTTAAATTTATTCATATTCATTAGGTTGTTCATATTTTTCATCATGTTCATATTGTTCATATTCATGTTTCCCATGTTCATGGACATGTTCATGTTAAGCATGTCTTTCTTAATTTTATTGTCTCCTTTCCATCCTGAAATTCTGGGATCGTACTTGAGAGTCAGCCTCGAAATAAGGACACTTTTGCTGTTTACAGAATATAGCTTAAACAAGAAGCACTCATTCACATGCCCCAGTTTTTCGATGGGGTAATCAAACACCTGGGGAGGTATTTTCAAAACATTGTATTCATCAGGGTCGTTTTCCTTATCTTTGTTTGGTTCGTTTTCTGCATTATTTCCGGCATTTTCATTACCCTGCGCATTCATATCGTTATTATTAGCATTATTGTTATCGTTTCCTTCGTCCCCATCTTGCCTCTTCTCTTCGTCATTTTTTCCTTCTTCCCTCTTTGCGCCTCCACTTTCATCATCCTTATTTTGATTGTCATCATCTTGGTTCTGTTCATTGCCCATATTTCCCGCATCTCCCATATTGTTATTACCTGCGCCTCTGTTATTTTTATTCTTATTGATTGGCAACTCGGTCATTTTGAAGCAGTAGTACTTACAGGTCTTTACCCAGTCGGGCAGTTCGTTCACAACTGGCATGTTGAACAGGACGGGTAGCCAATTCTCATGCACATCAAGGTTTAAATTATAATCTTTACTGTAGTCTCTTGTGACGTTACAAAATTTTGCTAACTTTTTCGGTTCTATAGGCAGGAAGGGTAGACCGTGCTTCTTGCCCTGAGCAGCATCTCCAAGTCCCTCCGACACTGCATTGTTTGTATTATTGTTAGGGTTACTGTTTCCTTCGACATTTTCGCTGTTGTCATTATTTTGATTGCTGTTTTCCATGTCATTATTATTGTTCGTGCCATCGACGTTTCCATCATTCACAGGTAGCCCACTGCCACTCTGCGCGGAAGCTTCGTCAGGAAATAATATATACACATAACCATCAGGTTTGACTATATTTTTACTACTTTTTAAAAAACTAAAACAAAACAAATTTAAACGTAACTTAAACATTTCCGTTTGTGGATCGATAAAATCTGGATGTCCATGAAATGACAACCCGGGTAAAATATAATATAGCGCATCAAACGTATTCGGAGGGAATTTAGATTTTAACTGAACTGGGTTAATGCCATAGTGGATAATTACATTCTTGCTTAGTGCCTGAATGTTAGTCTTACTTTCTTGTTTTAATTCATTTTCTTTTAAACAACTACAAACTTCAACAATGTCCTCATCGTGCTCGGCTAGGAAGCCGTTGCAGAAGCTGAAGTTTTCGTCACCAAAAAGGAGGATTCTCTGCGGGGGTGGCATGATAGGGGTGGTATAAGTGGTGCACAATGGGGACTTTCGCACGTCAGCACGTTTATCAGCCTATATGGCTCATTTACGCCATTTTTTTTAAATGAAAACGAGGGGCTCCTCACGACCCACATATATGCGCTTAACGCGCCCGTGAATCTACAGATTCATTTTCTTACCATTTTCGATAGGACGCAATAAAAAAAAAAAGGGTATCTATTTATATAGTGGGCTTCCGAAGGGGGTATAAAATTTGAATAGACAAATATTTATATATATAATTATATGGGTGGAACAAGGAAGATGAATCTGCTTTAATTAGAGAGTGATCAAAAAACAAAGGGGGTTAATATAATACGAAACAAAGATGCCTGCCTTATGTTTAAAACACAATAATCTCGTTAATATTTCATATGGTTGGGGATTTTCCTTGCGATATGTTTTATAACAACGTTGTTACGGTTGATAATCTGGTACGTGTGTTCCTTCACGCTGCAGTTGATTTTTATTTCCCCTGACACTTCTTTTGTATATTTGTTTTTCCTATACACACGATTATCTGCTCGCTTGTTGAGTAACTGTATCACCCTTACTCTCGCTCAAATTTGTACCTTCTGTTGTGTTACCCCTTTGGAGAAAAATCAGATAAAACACACACGCGTGGCTTTTTTTTTTTTTTTTTTTTTTGTTTCAAGTCAAATTGTTCTCACACTGATAATTGTGATTTTCCAAGACAGATTTTTGTTATGAACCACAGGGATGCGGGGTTTGCCAGAAAAAAAGCACACCTTCTTGCGTACGTACGTGTGTAAAAAATATATATATATGCTTAATTGCGAATGTAGATATGTACTACTGATCACACACGTTGGTGCTTTTGTCCAATACACGCGCTGATGTGAGGCGGTTTAGAGGGAATTCTTGTCACGCTCTTTTCATCAAATGGTATATATGCATACCTTTCTCTTTTTCTCCTTTATAAACGCGAGTATAATGTAGGTAGAGCGCAGGAGAGTATGGTACACGTGTAAATATGCATACACAATTATGTTTATATATGTATATATGCTATATATGCATATGGCTTTAAAACAATTACGTGTTTTTTTTTTTGCATACAACTAAGTCGCGCATACGCAGTAGGGGTATCTTCACATACACTTATATACATATATAACTACTATACATACAACCTTAGCAAAAACATATGCATATAAAGGCCAATCAATTTCTCCAGGGGGGACAAATAAAAAAAAAGAATAAAATAAAAGGATGGAACAAAAACCAAAATAAATATGTAGTTGCTTTGAATTTATATGTTCTTAATTTTTACTATTTAATTCTTAATTAGTTAAACTTTAATTTCTCTACTAAAGTAGTAATCTCTGCTCTGGCACTTTGGTTCTTCTGCTATAGCACAAAGCGCGTGGGCGTTTTCATACATACGTAAAGTAAGTACGTATGTAACACGTATGTATTTTTATTATATGAATAAACCATAGTATATACATGTACGTGACGCGCTCGGAGTACGTGAATATTACACGGGCAGGGGCAATCACATACGCATATGGCTTACGTAAGTTAGCGCAAGCACAGCATATGAACAACTAGGTATAAATTTCCCATGCCGATGCGGCCACGTGCGTTTTTACTCATATATACGCAACCCACGTATGTATGCTATGCATATACGTTGCGCCTACTTCTGTAAATTTGTGCTAAGTAAACTCTTTTGTACTCATTACCCTTCAGCAAAACATATATATGTAACAATGTATGTATAAAAGTACATATGTATGTATATATATACATATATATATATATAAGAAACTAATATTTAAAAAATACTTTGAAAGTAACAAAAAAATGAAACATACAGCTTTTAAAAATACTCGAAAATTTGCAGGAAAAAACGAATTTAATTGCTTTCACAAAGAAGTTTTTTTTTTATTTTGTTTTTGGTTTTGGTTGGTATTGTTTTGGGTTTGGTTTTCTTTTTTTTTTTTTGGTTTTGTGTTTTTAACGTTTCATAATATATTATATATTGTTTCCGCTTTGAAAATTATTTTTTGTCGCTTCTCCTGTCCCCATAATTAAATTCTATGGAGAGGGTAAAAAAATGGAGTATCCATAAATTCATATTACCTGGCGAAGACTAAACGTGGGTGCTGCACGTACTACGTACGAGCCAATCATGTGCTGTGATGCTATCAGTCACGACGCAGTAGTGCTATGCATACCAAATACATACAAATGCGGTACGCGCATACTGCCGCGTGTTCTAAGTACAGTGCGCGCTGAAACGGCAGCAGGTGCGGAAATTGGAGGCACCACGCAAGCGTTGCGTACAAGAAGCACATACGGTAATAATAGTGGAGCGGCCTAAGGGGCAAAAGCACCTTTTACAGTTTAATAATTAAAAAGCGCAATGCATAAGTTATTATTATATATATAATATATATACATGTATATCCCTGTGGCGCACAAACATGAACATTAAAAACGCATGTACCAAAAAATATACATATTACATTATTTATGTTTTTATAAGCACCGTGGCGTGAGCCTTCCTTTTAGGGCAACCCTAAAACTTTTTCTCCATACCTGTTTTTGTTCCTGCTTATTTTTCCTTGCCTTTTTTTTTTTTTTGTCAATGGGCTTTTTCACGTTTTAAGCGAATATAATCGCCTAAATGGTTGAAACTTTTGGAGTATAAAAAATAAAGTTTCCCACGACCTCGGTGTTCTTTATGTTCTTATTACCTTCTAAAACAATGTAAAGCAAAAAATAAATATAATAAAAAACAAGTGGTTTCCGTTTGCCTGTAATTTAACCTAATATTGGTATAATATAATATTGCTTTCCTATAGGCACAAAAAGGTCATTTTTTCCGCCCTGCAATTAGGTTATTCTAACTGTATGTAAAAGAAGGGCCTCTAATGGGTCACTCTGGTTAGAGTTTTCATACTCAGTAAGACATCACAACATAGTGTTGGCTAGGCATATCTATTCGCGTGACAATATAATAACGTCATCCCGCAGCCTCATCACATCATGTAAGTATAAAAACGAAATACCCTGGTGGCAATTTTCTATAAAGTGGCAAGGCGCTTGTAAGACTTGCCGTTCTTATAAGAGGTACTCTTTCCTAACCCTCATATAACAAAACAGGGCGAACCCCCCCAGCCTTTGCACTTATGACAATTATTTATGTTCCGTTTGTTTGAAGCGAAATTGTGCTTCCCCCCAAATGTTGCTATGTGGACATGTGTCTCCATTTTATATGATAAAATGTTTGGCATGAACAAAGTTATATAAAAGAAAAAAGTCTGAGAAAATTTGAATTTAGCCAGCCCGTCCTGGTCCTCTCACAATGTGCGATGGAGAATGTAACAAGATAAGAATTACCTAATTGATTGTGAAAAAATTATGAACGAGCATATGCATGTATGTACACATCCTAATGGTTCACATGCCCCGTAATCTTTATAATATGCGGCGTGGTTTATTATTTGTTTTTCCTTTCGCCATTAACTTCTGTTCACTCATTTAAGCAACACCACAGCGGTGAGTAAACAGTAATTATTCCTTGGGTCATCATGTAATGCATAGGTTAACGCGATTGTGCTATTGGGGGATGAGGCCATGGATAGGCTTTCTCAGACGGGAGAGATCAACCCGAAGAAAAAGACATGCCCGTTTCCACCATCGAAAATATATGTCTTTGCACGCTTGCACACGCATGGATTTATATGTTTGTTTAAAAATTACCCCTACGCTTATTAAACACTCACCAACGACAGTGATCACTACGATGAAAAAACTTTTTCCTTTTTCTTCACCCAATTGTCACCATGTTATGATAAATTGGACATACGAAGAAAGTTGAAAAGGTTTGATTATAATGGTGAGAGACGTAAAAATCATATATGGAGGTCTGCATAAGGGCCCCATTTCTGGGACAGGAATAAAAACATAAGCAAAAATGTAGGTGGAAAAATAGGAAAGATATAATAAGCATATACAGGCAAAAATAAAAAAAATAATAACAATATAAAAAAAGTGCGACATGTATGTGTAATTATCCTATTTGAAGTTAAAAACAAAACTGGAACTTCCTAAAAAAGGGAAATCCACATTTTCCCCAACTGCAATGAATGTACATATTTGTCTGTACGTACACTATTGTGTATACAAAAAAAAAAAAAAAAAAAAAAAAGGAAAACTTATGGTACTTGGTGAAAAACATTCAAGTTGCAACAAACGGATGAATGTGTTACCCTTTTTTAAATAAATTTTTGAAGAAATGCTTTATTTTTTTTGTGCCCTTCTGTAAGCTATTTTTACTTGCCAATTCATTGTCAGTACAATAACGATTATCCACGGAAGGATTTTTTTTTTTTCCATTCAAACTCCACATCCTTCCCGCAGGGGATGCATTGTTCAAGCTGGATGCGCCGCCATGTGAATTTCTTCCACATGAAACACTGCCGTTTCCATAATTTTTATGTATGGCATATTTCTCATTGTGCAATTTACGAATGTCACTCAAGGCCTGCTGTTCTTGTTTTTTTTTCTCATGAATAATTAGCAGTTTGTTATTTATGGGGGAAATATTATTTGATAATTTTTCCAGGTACTTCTTCGGATCTTCAAAGTACTTTTTCGAAATTTCACTTTCTTGTGATATTCTCTTTTCTGTTTTTCCATCCGGTGGAAATATTTTTTCCTTACTCATTCGGATGTTTGGAACTTTTTTATTTATCATAATCATAATTATATTAACGGAGGTCAGCACAAATTCAAACAGTATGGACTGTTTGTCGCTAAAGGGGTCTTCAAACTTCCAGATCATGTCTACATAGTAAGGCGACGATGCGATGTCTTCTCCCATTTGTTCGGGCCTTGCATTGGGATCATCATGCGGAAGGGAAATACCCACCCCGTAACTATTCGTATTAAAATTTAATATCTCAAATAACAGTTTTGTTAAATTAAAAATTTCACAATTTGTTAAAAAACACGTTTTAATTTGACTGTTACTGAATTTAATGACTTTATATTTTTCCTCTTTCGAATTGTAACTTATATTGCTCAATAATTTGTATAAAACTTTGAAAAAATTTTCGAAATGCTGTTCCTGTTCGCTAGGGTTCATTTTTTTTATTTTATAATGATTAATCAGCTCGGATATTATTCGGTCCAGGATGATAGTAATGTTGACTAGCATGTCTTCTCCTATTATGTAAAAGTTTTTTGATGATATGTTCCGTTTTATATTGTCGTTTTCTAGGAGGGATTTTCGGAAGAGCACTTCGAACATGGTGGCGCTGGGTGCATCGGCCGAGTTGGACGTTTCCAATGCGTTAACGTTTTCCACAATGTCTTTGCCTATTCCTTGGGACGCGCCTATTAAGATGTCTCCCGAGCCAGCACTATTTTCGGCCGCACACATTTCAGCGATTTTCTCATTCTGTGCTTCGTTAACTAAGTCATCTTCCCTCTTTTCCGCTTCCTTCATCCGGCTATTTGAGACTCCCTTGGCGTTATAACATTCTTCCCCATTTCCGCCCTCATTTGATGCCCCGTGTTTATTATTGTTTGCCCTCTCACCTTGCTGACCACCTGTGGTATTTCCTGCTCCCCGTGTGGTATCAACCCCCATGCTCTTTTTCGCCCCAGTCTTTCCTCCTGTTCCGCCTTTCTTCAGCTCATTGCTACTGCCTTCAGGGGTTTCCCTCAAAAACTTGTCCTTCCCTCTGTTGGTAACCTTATGAATGTCTTGAATAACTAGGTCGGCCTTGTTTGTGTGTGTGGAAACTTGTCCAGCATTTTTGCCCTTTTTCGCTAGCCTTGCGTTACTGGGGTTCGGTGTTTCCTTTGATACACCGATCGGTTGGTCCTTTTTGACGTCCACGCCCACCCACGACTCTGAATTATGTGCATTTTGCTCCCTTTTTTTCTCCCCATATTCTGCATAAAAAATGTTAATCAGTTCCTCCACCGCTTGGTCATCTATGTGGCAATTTTGTTCCACGTGCGAGTGGCACGCTTGTGCCTTGTTGATCAAATACAACTTTGTTTTGTCTTCAATTTGTTTGGGATCCACATGTGGAAACTTTTCTCTTAACAGATGTATGCATTCTTCAAATTTCATGTTGTGAGTGGGAGATGACACAGCTTTCAAGGGGGGAGGGTTTTATAACTTTGTAATTCGTGACCAACAAGTTATGTCTACATATGAGGGCGTGCACATATGGGTGCATGAATCCTGTGCAGATTTGCTTAGCGTCAGTGCGCCCCCCTCCACCCCCATGTGAGTTACGTGATCTGTATATATTTCGCTATGTACCCATTGAGCGTTCGTAACTTGGTCAACTCAGGCGAAGAAGAGACATACATACTCACGTACGCGCAAACGTAAATGAGCGAAAAGGCCAGCTTTATTATTTTCTTGTTGTACGTCTTCGCATAGGTCAGAAGGACAAACTGGTAAAGAAGTATTACCAGGGGATTATACAATTTTATAAACTTCAAAATCGAGAAAATGGAGTAGGGGGTTAGAGAAGCATTCTTCGCTTGCAGCAAAACGAGGTACGACATGTTAAGATGTTTATGTTTGGCTCAAATTGATTCATCTATACCTGTGCATACTTGGCGCAGGTGTCGCAAATGTCCTGGCTTATTGCACACGTTATATTATTTTTATTTTGGGCACATCTGCTGAAGAAGGGGCTCTTACAAAATGCTATCACAGCTTTATATACTTATGCGTTACTGTTTACAACTCTGGACTTTTTTTTTTTTTTTTTTTTTTCCTTCTCACGAATGGTCAGCATTATACAAATAAATACTTACGGGCGGATTCACACAGGAAAAAATAAGGTTATTCTCATTTTGCCTTACAAATGTCAAAATGTGCTATAAATGCCATATTTACAATCTTATATTTATTTATGTATAGAAATTTCTTCCAGAAAATTATTTTTTCTTGTAAAATATTAAGGTTATTGAAAAAAAAAAAAAAAATATGCTAGGATACAGCGTCGTTAAAATTGTTGTATATTTACACGCCTGTTTTTTTGTTTTTTTTATTTTATTGTTTTTGTTGAAACTACTGTAACGATCATGCATAGGGAGGAAAGCAGATATTTTTTTTGACGCGCAGGGCGTTACATATGAAATAAAGTGAAGAAAAAAAAAAAAGTACGTGGGGACATATCATAAGGGGCAACAATTGTATAACTTTTATGCGCTAATTTTTTGGAACCCTCGTGCGTATAATAATACGGCACCCTTTAAAACATGACGAATAATTGCACGTGATGACTTCTGCCTTGAAAAAAAAATTAGGCTAAATAAAATCCTAACATAAAAAAAAACTGCACCTTTTTTAGCCCAATTCCAAGCTTTTATTCGTGTCTGTATATAAAACAGTAAAAAAAAAAAAAAAAAAAAAAAAAAAAACATACAAATGTATTACATACGCGATGTACACAATTGAGCAACTGAGCTCCGTGCAAAAATAGGGGGACTGTGAGAATACGGCGTTTTTGTCCTGGGTAAACGTTTAAGGAACCTGTTTTTGCCAAATTAAAAAGTAAGATGAATGAACCGCACGGAGTTACAATAACACGAGTTGAGAAATGTTCACTTTTGTGCAGCTCCTTACCTGTGCTTATACATGTGACATGCCAAACATATGTCATAAGGAAGAACGTCGCGTGCTGTATAGAGAAAAAAAAAAAAAAAAATGTTTACGTATAATTTGTGCATTTATATAAATACATTTTATCCACCGTTCACCATCGTTGCAGCGGAACCATACGCCCAGAGAAACGAAGCAGTGGGTGAAACGAACCATGAAGACGTGCCAATTGTCAGGCAAAACATACCACATCGCGACAACACTGAGAACAGGGTACATTAGTGCCCACGCATGGCCTCCATGGAAGGATCCAATACGCATATGAACCACACCAAACAGTTGCATAGATAGGGTTGCCATATAGCCCACACTACACCGTACGCTGATTGCCCACTTTTCACCCGAGTGTAGCAACGTGCAAACAGGACACCCTTGTCTTTTGCTTGAACTTTCCATTTAATGATGAACAAAACATTTTAACTGCCTCTGTTTTTTTTTTCCTGGAGGACATTGTAAAAAGTTTATTAAACAATTTTCTTTTAAGAGTAAGTTGCTCTTTTTGCGCAACTATATTCCTGGTCGGTAAACGTAGAGTGTTACAGCTGTGTACGGAAACGACGACCAGGACAAGAGCAGTTTCCTTGCTGCGGATTTAGCAACGAGCAATTGGCGAATCAGCTAACAAAGTGACCCGCCGACATATCGTTTAACTGTGTGCGCCCCCACACCGCTGCACTGTAACCTCCTCACCGATCGCTCAATCATTTTGCACAAAATGGAGGAACTACAAAATGAATTCGAAAAAATGAAAATAAAGTCGGACGCCGAGGAAGAAGAACAAGAAGGGGAAGAATCTGGACAGGAAAAAATATCCCAAAGAAAGTTGAGGTACTTAAAAATGAAAGATAAAAAGGAAGAAAAAAAGCGAAAGAAGCAAGGAATGAAGGGTGCCAGTAATAAAAACGACGTAGATAGTAATAGCAAAATTAAAAGTAATGACTCCAAGGATGAACAGAAAGGTAGAGATAATTTACCAGATGGCGAAAATGCAAATGATGCTTCGAATAATTTAAATGAAAATAATGAAGATCAGAATGCTTCGTCAGAAATGCCGTTGAAAAATAAGGCAACGAAATGTGAGCCTGTCATCGTGGACTACTGTAAAGGTGCTTCTGCGTACACATGAATGCATAATTGGGGTGTAAATAAATGTGCATGTGCGCTTCTATAATGTATTACCTGTGATGTAAATTTTTGCGTCTTTTTTCCCCCGTACAAAAGAGGACGCGCAAACATTAAAATTTTCTTTTTTTTTTCCCCCCTCATGTGCAGTTTGCGGGATGCCTTACGAATACTGCGAGTACGGAAACTCGTTCAGCCAGTGCAAGGAGGCGAACAAGGAGAAGTACAACTATGACATTGTAAAGGGCGACGGGGAAACGAGCAACAAGCGGCAGACGAAGAAGGCCCCCCAGAATGTAAATACAAACACTAACATCCACGCCGAAGCTGTGTGTGAAAAAGCGGCGTACAAATCAACATGTGTATATTTATTTCGCATGTTATTGCATGTAGTCGACGGTGTTTTTCCTTGATCGTGTAGTTGCTTCTGTCAGCGCCGTGGCTGACAACTGCACGCAGGGCACTTCACATCTTCTCCGTGTCCACCCCTCCTCTCCTTCTTCCCCTTTTTTAGGCGACTCAAAAAATTACTATACAAAAGACCACGCGGGCACGAAAAAAAGTTGTCACTGTTGTTGTGGGGTTACATACGTATGTCAAATTGGACAAAATGGCAAAAATATTTTCACGCTTCTATGCGTGCGGCGCGTCCGTTATTAAGGGGGCAAATGGGGCCCCCGACCAGATAGACATACAGGTACGTCTTCTGCCTTCCTGCGCCTGCATAAAATTTATTCACGTGTTCGGCATTTGTGCGCACTTTTTTCTACACATGTATGCATGTGTGAACCCTACCCCCATGTGGTCCAATTTTTTTTATCAATCCATCCCTTATCATTTTCTCAGGGAGATGTCGAACATAACATTGTTGAAGTCATAATGAAGAACTGCCCCGAAATTCCTGAAGGCGTCTTCGTAATGATGCCTCCCAAGTAGTAGCATAAAAATGGGGGCATATGTTTTAGGGCTTGTATTCTTCCCCCTCTGCGCCTCGACGAAAACAGAAGTACACTTATGTGCCCCCTATTAACGTATCAGCTAATGAATACACGTCTGGAAATACGATGTGCGTTTTGGTCCCCTGGGGAACTCTTATGCTTTTATTCTAGCCATGATAAGTTGGCTGTCTACTTCGCACAACCGCTTCAATTGTCGTGTAGAAGAGAAGAAACGTCGACGCGTCCTGCGCTGCGTGCGACGCTGCATGTGTGCTACACCCAACATAGCGACGCTTCTGATTACTCAGGGTGACCCTCATATTTTCATCAATTGTGCTTGCGTGTGTACGTGTCTACGTACACAAACTTTGTCGTCCTGTTAGGTAATTTGTGTGGGGCTGGAGTTCACTTTTTCCAGCGCTTCCAATTCTTTATTTTTATTTTCCCGGAAGAGCCTTTGCCTCCAAAATTTTTCCTATTGACTTTTTTTTTTTCGAAAATGTCTTCCTCCTCATGATCAGTTATTTGTTCCATATTTTTTCTTTCATTTCTATCCTTTGCATATTGCGTTTTTAAGAATTGCAAAATTTTATAGTCGTAATTATCGTAAATTATTTGGTCATAATTTTCTTGATTGTGATTTTTCCCCTCTTCCTGTGGGTCCTCATATGTGGGTCCATTCTGGCGTTCGTCACGCGGTGAGTTGCTTGCAGTTTCGTTGTTCTGAAAAGTGCCGTACACAGCGCCACTTCGTTGCTGCTGCTCGGGTGTGTGGTTAGCCCGCGCGAGGGCAGATCGCTGAGCGGGGCTACCCATGTGGAGCGTGTCAAACGAATGCAAAATGAAGTGGTAGAAGTTGTGTATAAAATCCTGCACATTGTAAAAGGTAAAAACATTTTGGTAATCAAATATGTAAACGACCTTGTGGATATTAGTCAAATTTTTGATCATGTAAAAATCGTGAGTTGTTAAAATATAACTGCCTTGATAAATATAATTTAAAAAATTTAACAGAAGATTTTTTAAGTAAATATCTAAATTGTTATTTATTTCGTCTAGTAGAAGCAAATTTGATTTTTTTAAAAATAACGAAAGGAATAGTATTCGTACTTTTTCCCCTCCACTTTTATTTTTCATACTTGTGGAGCTATCGATGTAAAATATTTTCAGCAAGGCTTTTATTTTCTCCTCAAGGTTGTCCACGTGCTGTTCGTTGTACAACGGCTTGGTTTTGTTCAGAATGTAAAAAAATAAGTGCTCCTTGGAGGCAGAGATAGGAATGCCATTGTCAAATTCACCCTCGTCATAATAGTTCTCCATAATGACATCGTCTGCGCGATCCACATCCAAACCGTCATCGAAATGAACTGGTTCATAATTCACCTTTTCAATTAAGTACCTAAAATATTCGTTAATTTCCAGGTGTAATTTTTTAATCATATTTTGCTCAAAGTAGGTCAGGAGCACGTTGTCGAAGTTGCAGTGTATGCTTCCTTCAAAGTTTGCAATTTTGTCTTTTGTTGCGTTTGCGTTGCTTCGATCTCCGCCATGCAGGTAGACACCTCCCTCTTGATATTCCTCTTCATCCTCGCTATCTCCATACGCATATATGCTTCTTCTATGTCTACTTCCTTCCGTGGGCATCTGAAATTTATACCTATTCGTCAGTATCTTAAAAAAGGTGGATTTTCCAATTCCGTTTTTGCCCAACAGGAGAATATTTTCTCCGCTGTTTATGCTCAGATTCATGTTTTTAAAAATATATTTTTTTTTTTTTTTTTTTTTATTCCAAAAGTAAAAGGAAAAGTTGTCGAATTCGTACAGAGACACATTGTTCTTTGCGTACCTCTCTCCTGTTTCTATCAGCTCGTTGTTTTTTATTTTTTTGCTCATGTCGATGAGAATGTTTTTGTTCATGTTGCCTTCTACATCCTTCATTTTATTATACACGAAAGATTCCACGCCTTCTTCCTCTTGTCCGGTTTGCTCATCTGGGTTGCCAGAGTTATGCTGAGCGTCTTTCTCCTCGATCATCTCTTCACCATTCGAATTCCCCTCAGCAGTGTCTTTTCCCACGAGGCCGATATTTTCTCTTCCATCTTGCACCACCCCCTCGTTGGGAACCCCCTTGGCCGCCCCCTTCTCATTCTTCTTGCTGTATATTAAATTGTAGTACATGTATTGATAATTGAGGGTGCTGTCAAAAAGGGTAGAGTAGACATTTTGATATAATTTCAAATCTTCTTCTTTTTTTTTTAATGACTGACGCATGAATTCGTTTTTTTTTTTTTTCTTAACTTGATTTATTGCAGCATTTAGTTGATCCATAATTTTTTTTAATTCTTCTTTTTTTTTCCTCCTATTGTCAAAGAGTATTTTCATAGTGTGTAAGTATTGGGTGTAATTTCCTTTAAAAAATGTAATGTTTGAATTGTGTTCATTTTTTCTTTGTAGTTCTTGTGGAACATCAGAGTGGAGAGCCTGATGACCACTTCTGCTTATCTTTTTTAATAATGCCATATTGTTAAAGTCGATATCGTGTCCATAAATTTTGTTAAAATCTAAAATTCGATTACACAATTTACTCACTAGGAAGAAATCGTGGCTAGCCAAAACGATACCTATTTCTTTATACTTGAGAGAATATTGAAAAATGTTCATAATAAAGAAAATGTTAAATATGTCGAGGTTGTTATTTATTTCGTCTATTAGAAGAAGTTTGGCATTGCTGAGTAGAAGGAGTAGGAGGTACACTCGGATAATGTATCCGTTGCTCAAATTGCTTAATTTCACATGCAGCAGATTTTTTAAATTCAAAATGTTGAGGTACTTGTGGAAATTCATTTTTATTTGGTTTATCTCTTTGAATACATTTTCCTTTTCGTGCATGTACAATTTGAGCACCATTTGGAAAAGTTTGGAGTGCGCGAAGAGTTGCGCCTGCTCGTTGCTTTTTTCTCCTCGCTTTTTTGTTTCTACGCATTCGATAATGTTGGCATTCTTCTTCGTGATGTAACTTCCTGGCCTTAAATGGTCCTCTTTCCCATTTAAGCTATTACCATAAGAGTGTTTCTCACTACCTCTGTCCCCATTTGCACACTGATTGGACCTGTCGCCAACTTCTCCCTCCACAGCACACATTTGAACAGAGTCCAAATCTCTGTACAAATTGATCTCCTTTTCAATATAATTTAAAACCTCATATTTGTCTAAAACGGGTTGATAAAATTTCAGTACCTTTTCAAATACGGTCAAATTGTTTTTTTCCAATAAGTGAATATTCTGCTTAAAATAAAATATTCCATTTTTAAAAAAAAGGTCATTGTCATTTCCTTTTTTTTTTTTATTGATCTGCTCAAAATAGGAGACACCTCTATTTTTTATAATCGATGGAAGTTGGGACAACTCGAGAGAATTTATTTTCATGTAGTGCAAAATTTTGTACAGAAATTCGAATTTATTTTTCTTCACCATGGAGTGCATATTCTCCTCAGTTAGGGTAAAATTTGTCAACCCTTCCTTAGCAACTTTGTTATTTATAATAATATTTTTGTTACTATTATCTGAATGGTCGAAAATTAGGTTTAACAGCGACGTTTTTCCACAACCATTATTTCCTATAAGTCCTACACACTCCGATTTGTTCACCTGAAAATTGAAATTGGTTATAAGTTTCTTGCTACTAATTTCGTAATTCAAATTGTGGACAGTTAGGATCACTTTGTTTTCTTCCTTCTGTTCGTAGTGCTTCTCTAGCACGTTGTACATGTTCATATTGTATTTTGGGGACAGCATCCGGTCCTCTTCATCCCCCTGTGCGTTCAGCAGTTTCTCGTACGCTGCAAGGCGCTCCTCACGGGCTATGTCGTCCGTTTGGTCGTCCGTTTGGTCGTCCGTTTGGTCCTCCGTTTCTTCGTCCGTTTGGTCGTCCATTTCGTCCTCCGTTTCGTCCTCCCCTTGGTCATCTTCCACTGCATCCTCTTCGCCGCTCTCTTCTACATCCTCTTCATACCCATGTTGGGCTCTCTCGCTGCACCCACCTAGCAGCGCTTGACCCCGCCTCTCACCTCCAACGCGCAGGGAGCCACTACCCCCGAATGTGTCCCTTTTCAAATGGTAGACATGATAACCACGCGCGACATGTGCTCCATGCAAATTGTTTAAAAAGGAACTTTGATTTTTATATTTACTGATTTGTAGACCTTTGCAGCGATGAACGTAACACCATGTGAGAAGGCAAAGAAGGAATTCAACGAACATGTTATATCATAGTGTACCACGTGGGGGGCGACATAAAGAAGGCGAAAGGGGAAGGTGGGTACCAAAAAAAAAAAAAAAAAATTCCGCAGCGCAATTTGGAAGAATTGCTCTCTATTTGATTGTCATTGCGGAAGGGTTAAAAAAAAAAAAAATATGAATGACACGAATGAATAGGAAAAAGCAAAAAAAAAAAAAAAATAAAATGGCGAATGGATTCTTGCCGTTCAAGCGTGCAGCTGTAAGGGGTATTTCCTCAAGCGGGGAACCAAGTAGAAGGGGGAACGATAGGTGCGTAGGTCGCTCCATAAAACGCCACTGTGCTTGCATGCACATATGTATATAAAATAATATATATATATTTTTTTTTTGTGTGTGCACAGTTGCATGCTTGCTTTGCCAAGAGCATTCCTGTCCCACCCGTCACCCTTTCCACACATATTTGCGTACACTTTTCTTCTCATTGTGCCTGCCTATTGCGCAACGAATTCTTGCCCACGCGTGGCAACATAGAGGACACACCTCTGAGCAGCGTTTGCTTAGTTATGTAGTGCAAAAAAAAAAAAAAAAAAAAAAAAATAGGAGGCACAAAAGATTTTTTCTTTTATTCATCGGAATAACAATTTTTTTGTTCTTCACTTTTTGTTGTGCCTTTATAGGCGTACACACCATGCGCAATGTATAGGACGCCGAGCAGTTCACACAAAATGGGAGAGTCCCTTTGCAAAAGTGAAAAATTAACAAGTGTGTATTCTGCGTTTGGCGTTCCCTGAGTATGATTTTGTCCACACCTTTTCGTGTATTTTATAAACGACGCGTGTGTCATTAGAGCGGTCCGCGACACAGAAAAAAAAAAAAAGGTCTGTCGCAATTGTGGCGTCTCCTTGCTGCGGCTATTCTGCCCCTTCACCTCCGCCCTCCCTCAAAATGAGCGTAGCGCTCATCTTCGGCATCACCGGGCAGGACGGCTCGTACCTGAGCGAACTGTTACTGGAGAAGGGGTACATAGTACATGGGGTGATACGCAGGTGCAGCTCATTTAACACCAAAAGAATAGATCACATTTTTGATCAGCTCCATTTGCATTACGGAGATGTCCTAGACAGCAGCAGCATTTGTAACTTGATAAATAAAATAAAGCCAAATGAAATTTACAATTTAGCTGCACAGAGTCATGTAAAGGTTAGTTTTGATTTGCCCGTCTACACAGCCGACACGACGGGCGTAGGGACCTTACGCATATTAGAAGCAATAAAAATGTCAAACCTACCGAATGTAAAATTTTATAATGCTTCTACCTCTGAGTTGTATGGATGCTCCACTGATGATATGCAACACGAATGCACTCCATTTAATCCTGTCTCCCCTTATGCAATTGCAAAATTGTACTCTCATTACATAACGATATGTTATAGAAAGTCGTATAAAATGTTTTGTGTGAATGGGATTTTGTTTAATCATGAAAGCCCAAGGAGAGGGGAAACATTTGTAACTCGGAAAATTACAAGGGGGGTAGCAAATATTTGCAAAAATAAACAAGACGCTATAATATTAGGGGATATATCTACCTACCGAGATTGGGGACATGCAAAGGATTACGTCCGTGCTATGTATTTAATGCTACAACAGGATGAGCCTGATGACTTTGTCATAAGCTCAAATGAAAAACATACGGTGAAGGAATTTTGTGAAATTTCTTTTTCCTTCGTTGGGATTTTTTTAAAATGGAAAGGAACAGGCGTTCAAGAGATCGGGGTCGATCAAAACGATCGTGTGCTTATTAAAAAAGACTCCAAATATTATCGAGAATGTGATGTTTTCAATTTGCATGGCGATTCTTCTAAGGCACGCCAAGTGCTGCACTGGGCTCCGACCTATTCCTTCTTTCAACTCATTTATGAGATGCTCAGATGTGACCTCGAGGAGTGCAGTTTGCCTATCGACAATTTCGATACTTGTGTCCGCAGGTACCAGCTTTACCGGGCGTGCGCCTAAGAAGTAGCACAAACACCGGTGGCAGGGCACCTTCCAATTGTTTTTTACGAAGAAGCAGTTGGGCTCCCCCCCAAACTGATTGTTCTTTTTTGTGTACGTAGAACCTTTTGCACAGTTTACACTTCACAATGAACACAGCAGTGTGTGTGTTTGCGGGCCGCCCTCTCTGTGAGTGTCTTTGACATGTGCAGTTTCTTGCGTCACCCGTATTAATCAGTCGCGCAAGTCGTCTACATTGTAATTTTTTTTTTTTCTCAATTGTATGGCACAATTGCAATGATTATTTAAAAAGGGTTCAAGTGGTTACGCACTACGCCGTTGTTGGAATAAAATATATACACATAGGCACACAGGCAAAAAAGGAAAAAAAAAAAAAAAAAAAAAAAAAATTTTTTTTTTTGAATACACGTGTATATGTACGAATGCATAAATAAATTGTTGAGCGTGCACAATGGACTCCTGTATATTTCGCGGCTTCAGTTTGGGAGTGCTTCGTATTCTCTGCCTCTAATTCGTTCCAAAATTATTTATTTATTTTTCTTTATTTTGCAAAAATGGCACATTCATTAGCACTTACTGCAAATGCGGATAAGCAGATTCACAGCTAAAAGGCCATGTAAGGATGCCCCATGGAAAACCAGGACGTAACGTATGGGCAACCTTATCTACATCCTCCCTCTTACACGTGTGCAACAATTAAAAATGAAAAAAAAAAATAAAGTGAACAATAAAAGTAAATTCATCTGTATGATTTTTGGTATCTGGCACGAGCACCCTTTCCACCGAATTTCTTCGGTTCACATCTTCTTGTGTCTCCAACAAGCAGCGTTCTGTCGTACCTTAACAGAGCATCCTTTAATTCTTTCTTTGTAGATTCGTCTACGTATTTCTGGTAATAGGAAATGACTCCTTTTCCAATGGCTTGTCTGATGGCATAAATTTGGGCAGTTTGTCCACCTCCTTTTACTCGAATACGAATATCTAAGTTTTTTAATTTTGCTGATCCGATTAACCATAAGGGTTCGTACACCTTGGTCCTCAATATGTGTGGCTCCACTAGGTCAAGATTTTTTCCGTTCAATTTTATTAGACCCTTTCCATTGGTCACAGTTGCCACGGCAACGGATGTTTTCTGCAGAGATGGGCAGGGAAAAAAAAAAAAAAAAGGAATTTCATGTGAAGGTGCCACACAGATGGTGGTTTATCTATCCAGTGTAGGGGATGAGAAAAGACCCCCAAAAGGACAAGGCACAAACAATCCCATTTGGTGGCCTGCTGATATATTATGCCAACTGCTACAAATAGCTCAGGGAGTGCTGGCGACCAATTTCAAGAAAGGACAATAAAATGCATTACGCAATTTTTTCATATCCCCCTTGGTAGAGACGTGACAAAACATGAACAGTTCAGTACAGCGGTTAATATGTCACTTCACCATCTCAACGTTGAAAGAAAACGCGAAAACGGGACGCCACTTCGTTTGTCCATAGTAGTTATTATTTGGCCAAACGTAATGGTGCCGCGTAAGCGGTTTCTTGGCAAAGGGCACGTGTACGCAGCAGGTGGGATGCCCATATGCAGCTAAGTGGGTAGAGAAATCGGTGTGTGCCCCTCTCTCTCCCTTGGCCTATTTCCTCTGTTTCGCAACACTCGGGTTGACTTTTATGTTTTTTTTTTTTTTTTTTTTTTTTTCCTCCCTCCCCCCTGATGTGCATTCTGTTTCCCCACGCGCCCCTTCTTGCGG